CTTGATCCAAAGCTCTACTACTATGTTCTGAAGATGTTGCAATCAATTATTGCAAGATACGTATCTGTCATATGGTGGAATCAGGGGTTCTAAGGCGTTGGACAATGTCCCAGTGCAATGTGCTGATTCTTGAAAATATGGCATCACTTGACACTTCAAAGTTTTATTTCAAGAGTTACCTTCGGTAGAACCTGCTCAGACTTGCTACACAGTACCATTATTAGGTTATGATAGCATAACCATCGAATACAGGGCAAGTCCAGTGTCAAATACTTGTGGGCGGGGCTAATATGTGGGACGTGTGCGCTGAAATGGGATGATTCCGAAAAGAGAAAAAGGTCACCTTCTAGCAGAATTCTACCCACTTCTAAAGTTTATGCTGGTATTTAGCAAGTATACTACTGTCCTGATGTTGGACATCAAGAAAAATGGGGTAACTACGAGTGCTACGGCCAAAAAAGTGATTTTCCGGTGTTTTTTGGCCTAAATTGGCAATTGTGAGTATGCTATGTTTGGCCCCTCCCCCGAGTGAAACCGGCCGGTAGAACTTGATAAAATTTTGTCTCCGTACACTAGATATCCTGCGGAACAAAGTACAATCGTTTGTAGCCACGTTTCAAACAAAAAAAATTTGGACCCGAGGGGTAGGAGCCACCTTAAGCTTGAGTTGTGCCCACCTCATCTCATGTGTTTTAATTGGTTCTCTTCTCTAAGAACTAGAAACTCGCTCTTACTCCCTAAGTGTAACTCATCCACTCTTTTGCGCTCCCCTCTCTTTATTGCTTATTCTGTTTGGCTCACTTTACCCAGAGAAGTTAACCCCTTTAGCGCGAGCGTCGTACTAGTACGACGCACATTAGTTGCATGCCCCACGACCGTCGTACTAGTACGACGCTGTAGAGCGAAGCTGCCTATCGTGATCGTGGGGTCCGTATCGAGTCCCAGTGGCTCTGTCGTGGACCGCTGGCTGTTCGCGGGCTGCTGGGGGCTGCCTGGAACCGGCACGTGATTCGAGGCGGGAAAAATCGAACGAAAGGAGACGCACGGGGAATAGTTTCAGGCGAGAACATTTTGGTTGAAAATGCTGCGCCGCGCGAGAGGAAGAACTGTGGACGAAGCGCTCCACGAGCTGTTTCTGAGTTCAGACAGCGATGTAGAGCCGTCAGTGAGTAGCGACAGCGACGAGGAGGGTCTATGGACGCCAGCAAGGGCCAGAGTTCAGAACGAAACTGCGCCTGATGTGAGTGGCGGAGCAAGCGCCAGTGTCGATGAGTACGTCGCGGAGCACGCGGACATTGATGTTGCGAATGAAGCGCAGCCGGCGGACGTCCGTGACAGCAGTAGCAGCAGTAGTACTAGTGGCACGGAGAGCGACGATGATGAACAGGCGTCCGAGAGGTCGCATGTCCACATCCAGGAGCAGCTTGCCGCAGGAGACGATGGGAGCGAAGGTAATTATCTTTTCAATAGTATTTATTTGTTCGTGTGAATTTGAGTACGCTGTGTTTGCACTTTGAGCTGAGTAAAACTATTATACGTGCGTTTGTACCTTTGTTGAAAGTAGTCTTACTGTAATATTCCTGGCCATCGTTCAAGATCTGTTTGGCGTTATGCATAGCGTAACTGGAGAATTTTCAAACAAAATGTTGCCTAAATTCCAGAGTATTTGAGACGTACATCAGCCTTCCTACACTGTAGGGCATCATGTGGCCTGATATTTCCTACATTATTCGTGTTGTGATGTATTAGGGCAATGGAAGATGGAAGAAAACCAGCCCTTGCAAGACTCGTTCACTGCCCAGCCCGGTATCAAGGTGCCAGTGCCAGAAAATGCTGAGCCATATCATTATTTTTGCCTGTTTTTTACTTTACAATTTTGGCAATTGCTCTGCACTGAGACCAATCGATTTGCCCAGCAATATCTAAATGCACACCGTGACACACTCCCAGCTCGTAGCAGATTTAGGAAATGGGTAGACGTTAGCGTACAAGAAATGAAAGTGTTCTTTGCTCTATTTTTGCTGATGGGATTTATTTGGAAGCCAGAAATCGATCTCTATTGGAACAGGAACCCTCTGATTTTCACCCCTTTATTCCCCGCCTCGATGAAGCGCGACCGATGGATGTGTATTGCAAGTTTTCTGCACTTTGCAAACAATGAAGACGAGACGGCTAGAACCGACAAGCTTAGGAAAATTCGGCCGTTGATTACATTTTTCCAGGATAAATTTCAGACCGTGTACATTCCGTATAAACATATCTCTATTGATGAAGAATTAGTGCCATGGAAGGGTAGACTAGATTTTAGGCAGTTTATACCCTCGAAACGAGCAAGATTTGGTGTCAAGATATATGCTCTGTGTGAGTCTAGTGGTTATATGTCTAACTTTTTTGTTTATGTTGGCCGAGATGATCATGCCTATCAGCCTGGCTTAGTAGAGAAAGTCGGCAAATCTGGTGCCGTAGTTGTCCATTTATTAGATCCATTATTTTTAGACAAAGGCTACAACGTATACATAGATAACTTTTATTCTAGTATTGAGCTGGCTGAATACTTGGAGACCAGGAAGACCGGAGTGTGTGGAACAATTAGAAAGAATAGGCGTGGCCTTCCAAAGCGGTTGGTGAACCTCAAGTTGAAGAAACGCGGATCGTTTGCATATCGTACAATGGGCAGTAAATTATTTGTAAAACTATCGGACACCAAAGAAGTATATTTTCTCACCAATTTGTTCAAGCCTAATGTTATTGCAACGAATAAACGCGACCGAACCAGGAAACGGGTTCACAAACTCAACCTTGTTCACCAATACAATCAGTACATGGGCGGTGTGGATCGCAATGATGCTCTTCTGTCGTACTACAGTGCATTGAGAAAATCCATGAAGTGGTACAAAAAAATAGGTGCACATTTTATCGAAGAAGCATTATTGAATTCATATATATTATATAAAAAGTCCAAGAGTATGCCACACCATGAATATGTTATATCTGTATTATCTGCATTGCTTGCGGATGGCACGGGTCCCGCCGCTGCTGATGATGTTGCTGTTGCCAACCCTGCTCCTGCGGATGCTGCTGGCCCTGTACCTACCACACCAGTTGTCCCTGCTGCTGCTGCCGCTGCTACTGCCACACCTGCTACTCCTGCCACTCCTGCCACTGCTCGTGGCCTAGTCGTGTCCCCCAGGCTTGGTGGGCGCAAGGGTCACTACCCCGCACCCGTACCTGCCTCTTGCGGCAAGCCTGAGGGCAAATCGCAGCGCCGGTGTGTCGTATGCTCCCACAATGGGGTTAGAAAAATGGTCACAATCTGCTGCCTGGACTGCGTGGACATGCCTGGCCTATGTGCCACTCCATGTTTCAGAATTTATCACACATGCGAGAAGTTTTAATTTTTCATTTATTTCTGTCAAAATCTTGAGATTTCGGGTTTTTTCAATTACTCCCTTTCCGTGTACATATCCCTCTAAATCCTGTAAATATCATTGTTTTCATCTTTTCTGAACCTCATAGTCCTGTGTGATCAGGACAGAAGTCAATAAACTGAATTTTCAAAAATCTCAATTTTGCCCAATTTTGACTGCGTGGGGCAGTGTCAAATGCATGCGCGCTAAAGAGGTTAAGGGTCTGACCTCACTCCGCCTGTTTAAGATCCGTGCCGCCCCTTATTTACTACGACATAAATAGCTCATTATCCACATGTCCTTTGCGTCTCTGTGTTTTTCAATGTTTTTACTTGACATTATCTTTCTTTACGGAGTTGTTGTTGCTGTTCATTTTGCTACTCCTTCTTTTCCCCTCCCCTTACTTTTATTTATCGCCGTGGTTGGCAATCACCCACTCTCTTAACATTGGCCGGTGTTTCCACCGAGTCTTGAGATGTAATAAATATAATATATAAAAAAAAGTAAATTATCGTATCCGTTCCCGAAGGGAACTCACGACGGCCGCTAACACCCGATAAACCCTAGCGGCAGATGCAGCGCCTAACGGTAAATATAATAATTATAATGGTACCATAAAATAATATCTTTCCTTTGTAGTGCACTCTCAGTGTGATGACGATTTCTGATGATTATCACATGAAAACGGCATTCAAATCCTAAAAATTAATATGTTTTCAAAACTTTCCATTGTTCTTGTGGTATGAGTGCGCTCACTTTACTTTCATCGATAATAATACAAGTAATACAAGTAATACAAGACTAGTAATACAAGACTTAGTATATAAAGTAATTAGTTGAACTCTGAGCCTTCCGAGTTGGAAGGTTCAACGGTTGGTTTGCGCCTTGGAGAAGTGTTGGAGCTAGGTGTCAGGTCGTTGACTGTCTCAGTACTCCTAGTCAGTTTTGTGCCATTTTGTCGCACTCGCTGCCAGACTTTATGTGATCTGGTGTACATTGGTGGACAACTGTCCACCAATGTACACCAGATCACATAAAGTCAGTTAGTCATAACTCGTAACATGTTGTCCTTCTCCTTTTTTCTCCTTTTACCATAGTACAAGTATAAGCTCTCATTAACCTTGGTCTCTTTTGGCCCAGTGCCCAGTGCCCAGTGAGTGATGGGGTTGTTGCCTTCGTGCCATGACAACGTGAGTAAAATAAAGCCAATTTCATAATGCACGCGAGCTCCCATGTAGGGAGCAACACACAATTCCCCGGTATCGCAGAAGTCGCATCAACCTCTTCTTCACATTAATTTCATAATACGATGGTGGTGGTGGTGAGAAGGAGAGCTCTATGCCAGAACTTTGCAGCCTAGAGAGCGTGTGTGGGCAGGCGTGTGTTTACCGCCATATTGCCAGGTGTGCCTTTACCACCATATTTATCAACCATAAGTACAGCTGCAGTGGTGTCTTCAACTTCATTCTCACGAGTACACAAATGGGAGATTGAGTAATACACACATTATGACTGTGATATTTGCTAGTACTACTCGTACTCGCTGGTGTATATATTTAAAAAAGCCTTGCGGTGATGTTTAGTATGAACTCTCTATTCTAGAGCAGGGAACGCAAAGGTAACATCCTTGCCGGTGAGCCTCTTGTAGACGCCGGTGACCATGGTGACGGTCTCAAGCTTGTGCTCGAGGTTGGTCTGCTGGGCCTTGTCAAGGTGAACTTTGATAAAATGGCTACCATCCAGCTTGACACGAGTGCGGCGTCCGACAATCTCAGCGGGGTACACCAGATCCTCCAGGATGGAGTCGTGGACATGGGTCAGGGTGCGGCTGCGTGGCCGGAGCTGCTTCTGACGGGATCGGCGGGTGGGCTTAGCCAAAATCCTCCGCTGGGCAAGGAAGATGACATGGCGGCTGAATTTCTTTTCCAACTCGCGGACCAGTCTGGTATGAACACGTTGAAGTGTTCTCCACAGAGGCACGGGAACGAAAATCACCAGAGATATCAGCAAGAGTACATGTGCTCTTGATAATAGTTATGTAGGGAATAATCATAGTGCCGGATCCAATTGAAGTAGGCTGAGCAAGTAACAATTATGATCACATTGCATGCAGGACAATGCCGGGAATAGCAGGGAATCGTAATTTTTACGGCTCCCTGGTAAATAGACTTGATTTGGCTACACATGACTAAGCTCATTATGACATACATGTACAAGTTCAATGTAAAAATGGTGGTGAGACCTGCTCATTAAAGATTTGACCATTGTCTCAACATCCTGTGTGTGTGTGTGTGTGTGTGTGTGTGTGTGTGTTTGCTTTGCACTGGGCAGCACTATGTCCTTGCACACCAGCATCACTAACAGGGTATGGCATGCCATGCACTCAGCTGACCGTAATTGAAGAGCAAATGCACCAGCCACTCTTCTCATTCTGGCGTCTGTAGTGTAGCATCAACTTGTGCACTACAAGCACATGTACATGTATGTCTACTTGCAGAGGATTGGAATTCAAAATTGTTTGCCAGCCCGATCGGGGTGAGGTGATGGGGGGGGGGGGGGGGGTCCCGACAGTAACATACCAGCATAAAATAATAACGTTACCATGGTATTCTGCCCGCACTCTGCAAATCGTTCTGCATGACTGTTTGGAAGTGCGCAGCAGTTGGAAGTGCGACACTGCCCTTGTAGTATGCATGGCCGGCCCATTTCCATGCTCAGCCAGGCCAGGGCCCATGATACGAGCTCGTGTTCGTAATTCATTTACTAAAACTCCGCCTTGTGAACTCAAGAGTCAGGACAGCATATCTGGTGATTTTCACTTGGATCAAGTCATTCTGGAGCAGCCCGGAGGGAGTTGGTTTGGCTCATTTGTCAGGATTTTTCGAACACCTCACCCGTGTCCGATGATACTGGGACAATATCTCCTAGACTTTCTTTGCTGGATTTGTCTGCTGAACTCAGTGATAACTGGCGCTGTGTTTCTCCAGACTGAGACTGTTCTCTAGCAAGGCGTTGCGAAGCAGCTTCCAGGGCGGAGGCATCAACCTCGCTTGCGACCCCACTAACACTACTATGCGGCCGCCTTCGACTGGGTTCATGTGACACATGGATGTACGACGAGCTCACGGATTTGGGCAAAGCTGTACCTGCCACAGCTGCTTCTGACAATGCCTGCCTCTCTGGAGAGACTTTCTCGGACAGTGTGGAAAGGCGCGAGGGTCCCGAGAAGTCATCTGCGCCGTCCAAGCCGCGCTGGGACGTGTGACGCGAATGGTGTGCTGACTGGAGCTCTGGTGTGCTGCATGACTGGCGAGTTAAAGCCAGTGAGGTGTTGTCGTCCTGGCTGCTAGTCTGAAAGTCCGTGAGACGGAGCAGGCCGTCGGCACCCTCTCCTTCCATGGCCATTTGCAGCGTGCTGGCTGTGGGCAGACGCTGCAGCGAAGCGCCCTTGCCCCAAAAGTCAGCAGCTCCGTTGCTAGCGATTGTGGAGTTTGATTCTTTGCGAGTAAGGTTGTAGAGCAGGACACCGCTGCTGCTGGCATCCTCGCCGGCCGTGGGCAGAACAGAGCGCGATGAGGTCTGCGACGGTCCAGGAAGTACTGCCTGGGCTGAAACGCCGCGGGAGCGCAATGCATAGTCGGTGTCGGGCAGGTCGGTGTGGGCAGTCTGCTGGGGCGAGAACGACTGTCGCATGTACACCCGGGCCATCCAGAGCAGGACGATCAGCACAATAACTGTAACCAGAGCAAGCAGAACTGCTCCCGCCACTACTATCCCTGTGCCATCTTTACTGGCTCCCGCTATCAACAAGATCAGACCCACCAGCCCGCAGACGATGCAGACGGCCACGAAGATCTTGGCATACAGCGGCCACAGACCGAAACTGCAGCGACCTGCAGCAGTGATAAAGACATGATCAATGAGAGAGAGAGAGAGAGAGAGAGAGAGAGAGAGAGAGAGAGAGAGAGAGAGAGAGAGAGAGAGAGAGAGAGAGAGAGAGAGAGAGAGAGAGAGAGAGAGAGAGAGAGAGAGAGAGAGAGAGAGAGAGAGAGAGAGAGAGAGAGAGAGAGAGAGAGAGAGAGAGAGAAAGAGAGAGAGAGAGAGAGTTGATGGGGTTGAAGGAAGGCAAGGGGAATTTTACTCTGGGCACAGTACAGTGTACACGTCGTTGCTGAATGCTGAGGGAAGGTATCATGTACACATACACGTACCTACAGTGCTGGTGGGGCTGGGGTGAAGGGCTTCACACAACCTACTTAGAGGCCATGAAAGCTAGCAGAGAGAGAGAGAGAGAGGGAGGGAGAGAGAGAAAGTGTATGTGTGTGTGTGTGTGTGCGTGTGTGTGTGTGTGTGTGTGTGTGTGTGTGTGTGTGTGTGTGTGTGTGTTGCAGATGGGGTGACACACACACACACGCACACAAATATGTACCATACACACAATCATAACCATGCCGCACACACATATGACGATGCTCGCATATCAGTACACAAACTGAGCTTCTCTTAGGCTTGCACTATCATGGTTCTACAGAACACCACTCGTACTCCTAAGACAACCTATAGTATTCATTGTAGTGCTAGTCCGAAGGTTTGTGGGCCCAATATTGCTTGTGCTCATGTCCATTCAATCTCAAGCCAAACTAATAATTGTTCTACCACGGACATGCTCTGCTGCACCCAGATCACGCAATGGTTGTGCAAGTACAATGTAAAGCCTTGCAAAATAGGGTGTCCTAGATCCTGCTGACTCTACGGACACGAACCCTACATGTACATGTACATGTACATACGCGAACTGCAGCCAACATGATTTTCATTGTAATAATTTTGTGAGGCTCTGCATACCACTGAGTCTGTCGCCGCTAACCTTCAGTATCCTGGTATCGCGAGTCACGCAATAGTCAAAACGCCATTGATACATGATTGTATAAACGAAGGCGCCATTGCCTGTTTGTGTTGCGACTTTAAATAAAAATCAACAACAACAATACATCCTCCTGGATGGAGGAGTTGGTGGAGCTGCGACGCGTTATCGACTGTCACGTACCTTTTCTCAAGATGACCTCCATTGGCAGCCGCACGGTGTAGATGGTTTGGTCCTTCTGTTGTCCGCCAACGTTGCAACACAAGTTTGGACCATGAACTCTGGGCAGTCTGGCAAGCGAGAGCCTCAGAGAGACCGCCTCTCACTCTCGCGCCACTCACGCATGCACTAGCCCGCCATGTATTTACTGATGTTTTCCTGCTACGTAGTATCAAACATTCTCACCTGCCGTTTCCACAAGTAGAGTCTACAACCCGCCTGTCACATTCCGGCTCGCAGATTTTCAGACACTCGACGGAGCCTCCGCGGACAGTTCCCAACCATGCGGTGAGAGACGTAGCAATCGCTGTAGAGTGTAGTGCAAGCGTGAGGCTGTACTACCAGTACAATCATGTAGATCTACATGGTAGCCTTTCCGCGCAGGGCCAAGCATGATGCCTTGCCAGCACGGCTATTGGAAGGACTAGCTCTACTATGCTTAGCCACAGGATTTTGTCTACACGTGTAGACGCTACATTGTCTACTTGTAGTCCAGACTAGACTGCGAATAAGAATGATGCGAGTAGGGTTGGAATTACAGTAAAACCTGAACATGAGTTTCGAGTTCGGAAGAAAGGGTTGAACGGTCGCTGCTGTGGTAGAGAATCGCTGACCATAAGCGAGGCTCCCTGGTTCGAGTCCTGGCGGTGCCAGGCAATTTTGTTTGGCACACTTTTCCCGGTTGCAATTTTCCCTCAAGCTGGTGAAAATAGACCAATTACTGCTTTCACATCTGTCACTTGCACGCTTTGCGACATCATGCATGGTCAGGTAGCAAAAATAATAATTTGGTGCGAGAAAGGGGCGCTAGTATTGCACCAAATAATATATAATTCGTGTAATGACTAAACCAGAAGGGAAAAAGAAGAAAGAGAACAATAATCATAACAAGCAAGTACTAGTAGAGAGGTAAATACTAAATGGGTCTCAATATCATCGTCACAGGTACTGTGTGGACCACAGCCATCTCTTTCGGATTAGATCCTTACATACGTTGACCTTGAAGGTTTGGAGGCGTCTTGAATGAGGCTCGTGAAGCAGGAGGTCCGCAGGTAGGTTGTTCCAGGGTGTGATGGCGAAGAAGGGGAAGGATCGCAGGAGGTAGTCAGGGGTGCGAGCTGTGCGATGGGGGTGTCCACTTCAGCTGAAAGGCATGGTGCGTCTGACGTTTTTGCCGGGTGCACATGCTAGCTACGGCAGGGGGCTTGGTTGGTGGCAGCATGGCCTTTACCTGGGGAGGCCCTGGAATGTAGTGCAGCTTGAACAAGTATGACAGGGCTGCCACCATCCGACGAAGCTGAAGACTTTGGACGATGGTTCCAGGTCCCAGGAAATGCAGGGGACGTTGCTGAACCTTGTCCAGCTGGGCCATGTTAGTTGCGGCTGCGCTCGACCAGGCCAGTGGGGCATATTCAAGTAGGGGTCGCACGAATCCCTTGTAGACCGTCACTCGACCATGGTCGTCCAGGATGGGTGCTGCCTTTCGTAGGAAACCCAGCCTTTGGGAGGCGCGCAGTGCAACACTGCGAGTGTGTGCTCTGTAGGAGAGAGTAGGGTCGAGCATGACTCCCAGCAGCTTCAGGGTATCTGTCTCCTGGAGTGCTTCACCTCCAAAGGTGACTGGTGGAGCGCAGGGGGGAACGTGCTTGCGATATAGAGTCATGCGCTGTGTCTTGGCTGGCTCAAAACAGATACGCCACTTGCGGCCCCACTCCTCAAGACTGTTGAGGGACCCTTGGAGGGAGGCAGTGGACTGTTGGAGATCGTCAGTTGGCTGTACTAAGCTGTAGAGTGTGGTGTCGTCTGCAAAGCTGCTCAGCTGCGTTCCTGGAGTTAAACATTGTTCAATGTCACAGGTGTATAGAAGGAAGAGGCTGGGTCCTAGGATGCTGCCTTGGGGGACACCAGCCTGGATGGGTTGAGCATCTGACGTCTGGCCTCCAACCACAACGCGGATGTTTCGGTTGGTGAGGTAGTCCTGTAGCCATACAAGCAGGCGTTCGTCGACGCCGGCCTGCTTTGCTTTGTACAGCACTCCTGTGTGCGATACCCGGTCAAACGCACCGGCAATATCCACGGCGAGGACCTGGACACAACCGCCAGTACTTATGGTGTGGACCCATTCATGTTGGAGAGCCGTTAAGATATCTGCGGTTCCTCTACCACATCGGAATCCAAACTGGCTGTTTGGCAACACCTCATGCTTCTCTAGGTAGTTAACCAGTTGCGTGTTTACAATGCCCTCCATGACTTTCGACATGATCGCTAGCAGTGATATTGGTCGGTAGTTAGATGCCAAAGATCTGGAGGACCGTTTGTGAACCGGGACTACATGGGCAAGTTTCCATGCCCTAGGTTGCACACCGGCTAAGAAGCAGAGGGCGAAGAGCTTTGCCAGTGGGTTTGCAAGTTGAGATGAGCACATCTTGAGCACACGAGCAGAGATGCCATCCGGTCCAGTTGCTTTTGATACAGCCAAGTTCGCCACGTGCCGTTTGACCGTTGCTGCGCGGAAGTGAATGTGCTTTAGCGTGGCATAGGCAGGTCGTTGCAGGTCAGGCAGGTCAGCAGCACAGAGGTCGTTATTGCCAAGGCTACACTTGTTCGCAAAATGCGCTGCAAAGCACTCGGCTTTCTCACGAGAAGAGTGGAACTCTTGTCCTGCAGGGTTGATCAGCAGGGGGGATGTCAGAGCAACGTCCCTTGCCTGTTGCGCTCTTGATGGTTGACCACCACTCTTTGTCCCGGAGGGAACCTGCAGTAAGCTTGTTGCGAATTCTACGCTGATGTGCTAATCGCGCTGCATGACACGCCTCCACTTCGTGGTTAACAGTTGTGATGTACTGGACCTTGTGGTTATCGTTGCGGGGATCGCGTCGCCACAGCTTCCATGCCCGCTCTACTGTAGTGTGTATACAGCCTCCGTTACGGGCAAAATAAACACAATGAATATTTTTTCCCAAGTGTTCCAAAAACTTCAACTCAAAGTTCCAGAAAGAAAGAAAAAAAGAAAAAAGCACGCAAAAAAACAAAACAGCATAATAATGTATATACTTACTTAGGTAAACAGCAGCAAGTTCAACTTCAAGTCAATATTCCAATCACTGATACCGCTCGTGCACGCTAAGCCGGTACCCGGGCCTCAACCACTGCCAGCGCAGCAGAGGTATCACCCACAGCCAAGGCAGACTGGCTAGAGAGCCTTCTGCACCCTCGGAGGCACATGATGCAGGACCGCAAGAGGGAAAAAGCGATCCTGCACCTGATGAAAGCCATCCCATGAGAGTACTGCTCCCCTCTTTTCCCCGCGAACAGAGAGGCCACTCGTCTGTAGAGGGCCGTTGCTGCCTTGCCCATGCCTCCGCTCGCAGACATCACAGCCGGAACAAAAGTGGCATGCTCCACTTGTCTCACTCTCTCTTCGTAGTGCCTTCTTTTCTCTCGTTCGTGTCGATGATACACAGTGGTAGATCTACGTTGTGCAGACTGATTTGAGCGAGCATAAGGATTAAAAACCCGGACATCAATAAGGGTTCGCTCAAATCGACTGCCCCACAAACCACTGGCAGCGACATCAAGGCGTGCATGATCCTCCACGTTGGCCGTTCGGTATTGCAATTGCTCACCGGTCAGTGGCTGCAGCGTAGGCTCCGTGGACACATTGCTACAGACTTGGTGTAGGAGCTGTGCGGTAGTGTCACGGATGGCATTGTGTCGTATGGTGGGAAACCCTCCATGAGGGCAGGATAGTGAGTGAGAAACACTCACCTCTTGGCCACATGAACAATGGGTCGGTATTCTCGCCGGCGTCCATCCATAGCGGAGACACAGCCCGTCCCAGAACTCTTGCTTCGTGAGACTGAAGCCGTACTTCTTCAGCGGACGACATGTTAGCCAGCTAGAAGAACCCTTTTCTCTAGCGATATCGATGACGTTACGCAGACTCGCAGATGCATTCTGGACCACGTCCTCCATTGCCACTAGACTGCCTGCGCTTGACGGAACTCTGCCTTGACTTCTGCCTTCATCTTGCGCATCTTAGTTAAACAATCGTCAAGTGCAGTGTCACCAGACAGAATCTTGCTGGTGAGGGGCTCCGTAATGCGAACTGACGAGTTGTATTGCTCACTCAAGGACATAGGACTCGTGATACCCAAGCCGCCCAAACGGCATGGGAGAGCGAACACGCGCCGGAGATCCCCACCAGGAGGTGAGCGGCAGGTCAACGCTGGAATCAGTTTAGTTCTAATGGCACCTTCAAGTGGCTCCAGCAGGTGCTCGGGGATGTCCATGGTTCTGCAGAGAAAGGTCCATTTCCCTCTCAGTCCTGATACAAAATTCTGAGTAGGCTGCCTGGAGCTGAGTCTGTGCAATAGTTGCCAGCCGATTGACCTCTTGCACCCAGGTCTCTACCTTTCGTTGGATATAGGCCTCCTTGTAAGCCTCTGTGCCCACTGTGTGTAAGTAATGTGCAAGTGTAACGAGTTACGTTATTCACACTGCAGCCTGCAGGCTGTCTGGTAGACTACGGTAGGTCGTCATACTCGTTAGTTTTGTCCAGGGAGTCGTAAAAGGCTTTTACGACGCCCTGGTTTTGTCCATTGGTTGTAACCAACTGGTTGTCTATTGTTGTCGCAATCCATCGCGTGCTTACTAGTAGTTGGTTTCTTCACACTCTCTGCAAGGTAGGTGTAACAGACTCAGTTCCCTGTTAGCGCTAACCTTATCTGCCCTCTAGCTCTGTATCTTGCACCTTTCCCTATCCTGTCAGCACTCGCGTTATCACCTTAGGGCACGAAGTGCCATATCAGTTGTGTTGCCTTGAGCAAGCATTGTCTTTTCCAAGAATACCTTCAAACGGTTACACTGGTAGCAGAGGATGGTTAGCATGGTGTTCTTGGAGCTCGCCATTGTCGTGGCGATCCTTGTTCTTTCTGTGTTGCTATTCAGGTTGGCCAGCGAGGTCCGTGAAGCCAGTCGCCAAGTCAGCGCCCGTCTGAGCAACCGACAACAACCGCTCCCTGTGCCGCCCGCTCATTCGTCCGGGAAGCCTCGGCACGCTAAGGAGCCGCCGATCTTCGATGGCAAGCCCTCGCAGTTCAAGGAGTGGGCTTTCTCCATTGAGCTGGCGATTCGGTCACTGGGAATCACCGACTCATCGGTGATGGTGGATTACGCAGCGGGCTTCCTGAGCG